ACCTGACGCAGTGTGAAGATTTGGTCAACACAACCCCTACCAGACCGGAATCCCGCTTGCTGCTCTCGAGTCAGCATCTCACGAGCCACCGTAAGGCGACGAAGCACAATTGACGCCAACAGTCTCGTTACAACCGGGGTCAAGCTGACCCCCGGTATGTATTGAGATTATCCGAGTAACACTGCCAACTGCCAACTTTTTGGTCATAAAGGGCCATTAATGTCGAACCGTAGACAGACGAAAAAACGGAACCAAAAAAGCGCGAACCTGATGTCATACAATCGTCAACTGTGTTCCCGATGGGGCCAGCGGAGGCAAAGACCCGTTTTGAGCCTTGATCTGAATGACCGATGCAATCAGATTAGAGGAGAGCGTGATCGAACTCACTGGTATTCTACAGTTACCAAGACATGAAGCTAACCCCGTCTGGATGGACGATACAGTGTATCAGCTCACAGATGAAGTCACCTCGAAAATGTATTACTTGAAAAGTTAAGCAACGCTGAAGAACATGAGGATATCGAAAATCTTCATAATACCCTTCAGCCAGAACACTGAATTCTGCGGTTGGGGCTCTGTTTTGCCATTCTTTGAAGGACGGTACGTGGTTGTCTTTCACGTTCTTATTCGCAGCCCCACCCGCCTGTTCAACGTTAAGTGGTGGAGAGCTGCAGTGTTGGATGTATTTACGAAGGGGTTTCAGTCAGGAAAGCTGATGCCACTATCACAATTTACAGTTAGAGCGAAATTCTAGCAAGTATTGTTAAGAAATTGTAAGGGAATGCTATTCAGCAACTCCTTTTGAGGGTGTCATCTGGTTACCGGAATACTCAATTCTACAGGATGTGTTGATTAACCATGGAGATCAGTTGGTCGCATAGATCATCCAAAAGCCGGATGTCAGAACCATATTCCGGCACTTGTGTTTACATTTCTTGCTCTGTGCGCAAGAAATCATTGATAATACTTCACTGTGTTTGCTCTTGGCATGTTTTAGTCACTGTGTGTGAGATTCGCACCCACATTTGCTCTGGATCTTCCGACTGAAAATGGTGTTCCTCATGGCGGGAATTCACGTTTGAACATGAATTCGAAAATTCACCTTTGACATCAGTCTGTTTTTAAAACATTTTGTGCAGTGCCAAGTTTGACACATTGATTGAAT